AATCGTCTTGCGCAGAATACAAAACACAGAGGCGTGCAGTAAAGTCTTTAGATCTTTGTCTTAAAATCCCTATCTGTGCCCGGGAGGGACAGGCTGAAGGAGGAGCAGTGGTCCGTAAATTTTCACTTAAATTTGCAGGAGGGGGAGGGTGGCACCCGAAGTGCTCAGCAGTTGAAAGGACGGGTCATGTGCCGCCGCCGCGGCAGCAGCCGGCGAGGTCGACGCGGACAGCGGCAGCGGCGAGGGCGAGGCGGACGGCCCCCGCAGCAGCTGCCTCACTCGGCGTTGGTGGTCGGAGATCTCGCACGTCGCGAGGTACCGCACCTTGGGGTCGTCGACGGCATACACGAGCTCGACGCCGCTGGTAACGGCCCACACGTGAATCAGCCGCTCCGTCACGTAGCCGAGACAGCGGTCAGGTTGCATCGTGCTGAAGGGACACGTTGCGCTGTACCGCGCAACGAATGCTTCCACGAATGCCTCAAGAAACATGGCGTACTCTCGGAGGAGGGGCGCGGGCATGATCACGAAGTTGCCAAATGGCCAGAATCGGTCGGGAGGCATTTTGCGATCGATAAGGGAGACGTCGATGGGCGCCAGCCTCCGCCGCGACGGCTGCTGGTTCATATCACGCAGCGTCTGGAGCAACACGGGGCGCATCCCCGCGTGGTGCATGTCGAGCAGCCGCCAGTAATCGCCGGCGAAGATGCCGTACCAGAAAAGCACGGTTTTATTTTTCGTTCCGAGTGCGCCGTCTTCTTGGCTCGCGAGGATCGCCTCTTCGACTTTGACCCAGTCGAGCGAGACGCCCTCCTGCCACAATGCCTTCCCCTGCTCGTTGTACGTGGCAAAGCCCACCCACGGCTTGTCGTACTTAGATTTGGCGATTGCAAGCAGCGCGGCGCTCTCTCCGAGCTGCAGCTGTTTCGCTGGGTCGGACAGCGACGGCAACTCGTTCTGAATCGTCAGTCCGTTAGGGTCCACCGGATTGGGCGTGAGCGAGAGTGGGACCAACGCGTCGGAGGGATGCCAAGCGCCGAGGTCGGGCCAAATGCGAGCCCATGAGGCGCCGTTGTGATACGCGACGAACAAGTTCAGAAAGCGGCCGAGCTGCGCCAGTCGGAAGTACGAGCGCCGCCAGAGGGCTGTGAGCTCATCGTAGGCTGGGTCTTCGTCGTCAATCTGGTCGACCGCAGCCAGGCGCGTGCGCAGATCGGACGGGCGAAAGCGCGCCAGAAAGGCGCTGCGCGACCAGGTGGCGTGAGGCTTGGTGCCGGTGAAGTGCAAGAAGGTGGTGCGGTCGAGCGAGAAGACGGATGGGTTGTGCTTCTTGTTGCTCTTCTGCATGTTGAATGTGATAGGCAGCATCGCAGCGCTGTCGCCAAAGATAAACCGTAGAAAGCCCT